GCTGTGAAAAGCCATCCTGTGTAGCTCGCAGGGTCATGGAGGCACGCAAGCAATCACACCGCGTCAAGGTGCAGTCTCGTCGTGATGGACCCTTGACGAACACCACTGCTAGTTACGAACGACCTATTCAGCTGGCCGTAGACCCTTACGCTACTCTGTCCAAAGATTAAGTCGTTGTTCTTTATTGTGGATATTCTGTCCATTTTTATTGCAAATGGTCTCACTGTCCGGTATTGGACGACCTCCAGTCTTGCGTATCAGCTGAAACAGACTTTGAATATTCCCTGATGCAGAAGCTACCTCCAGTTGACTAGCTACTTGGGCTCACCAATTTTTGCGCTCTCTTAGGGCTATTCCTGAGTTACCGTTGCAGATGACACCGGTCCTCATGCTGATCCTGGCAGATTGGGATCTTTCGCTTTTGATCCATCAGGTTTTCTGACTCCTGAGAGATCGAATATCTTCGGCGAACTTCGGGCTCGGTCCCACAAGCTAAGTTAGATGTTGAGTGCATCGCAAATCTAACTTGATCCCACTGTTGGTCTACTCCACTACGCGGCGGTTCTCCTAGCTCCTGTCCAAGTTTTCCCTCATAACATGCACAGAGAGATGGATCGCGCAGACGATGGTGAGTTAAATGAGGAGGCGATTTCTGCGGATGACCGATAAGTCGAAGAATGAAGCGTAACAGAACTAGTGCATGATCCGACTCAGCGCAGGTGGTCCAACAGGATCTGCAATTTTGTACTGAACCACGCCAACGGTAGCTTACAGTGATGTGATCAATCTGGATCAACTTTCCCGTTGAACTAGAACACCAAGGTGCTAGTAAAGAATAACCGATGATCCGTGCAGAACTGAAGTAGTCGGTTGCAATTGTCTGTACGTCGGGAGGGAAGAGCGAAGCGTCCTCCTAGACCGGCCTCCGATGCGCTCGGTTTTTCAACCTGCGCGTTAACATCACCTGCTAGTACTATGATACAGAGCTACACCTCGACCGAATGAGTTCGGTGAGTTTGTCGTAAAATTCGTCCTTTTGTGAAGTAGAACTGCAGTTGGTTGATGCACATGCTGAAACGATGAACAAACCACGACTACGTCGACGAACTGCTGGAGAACAGGCTCGGTCCTTCTCACACATCCGGGAAGGAACCAAAGACGTCTTAAATTGGCAAATGCCACTCGAGGTTTCTGTATAGGAGCCGACACTTCATCTGTGATGCGTCAGTCGAGTGATAAAGATGCCAATATATATGAGGTACTTGCTCCATTACTTCTTTAGTTACTTTGAGGTTGGAAGCTGAACCAGCCCGGTCCTGTAGCAACATTTTGCACTTTGAAGATGCTAAACGCAAACCGAAAATGACTGGAATAGCACTCAAACTATCCAGAAAACCTTGCAACTTATCTGGATTTTCACTTAGCAGTAATGTCGTCTGCACATTCCGCATTACAGTTTGTCACCTGGGTGTAACTCAATGCCGCTGTCCTCACATGAGGACAGGATTGTATCCAGAATGAAACCTATAATGAAGTTAAATGGAAAAGGAGAGAGGCAACCCTGACGAACACTGCTTTGGGTGGTGAACTCGAGCGAAAAAGTGCCATAAACTGGATCTCATCTTCGGCCTTTAGCATAAACGGATCGGGGATATCATTCAGAGAGATGATCTCAGGGTATAGGGCGTCATTTAAATACAATTCGTACATTTTACAAATAATATCTAAAACTTACCAAAATGAACAGATCCGATTGGATTTGACGATGGAGAGTGTAGGATTGTGGACAAATCAGTCAGTGCTTCCAATAGGCAATCGAATGCTTTCGATTGCACAGCAACCACAGCTTGTGCATCAGACAGACCAGTCGATGGAGTATCATCTCGAACACCAATGGACTCCAAACTAATGGCCTGTTGTTGGTTACGAACCAAGGAGCACAACCAGTTACGATCCTCCTTTGTGAAACCGGGATGAAGAAATACCCTCAGTAACAACTGACTCAACGGATGTTGCATCACCAACTCTTTAACAGCACAATCAGAGAGTGACTGTGGACCTTCACAGGATGTAAAACCAAAAATATCACAGCCTTGAGTTATACTTTCCGCAATCAGATTCAGATATTGTTTTTTCAAGGACTGGTTTTTTTCCACATTAGTAGATAACTGAAGATGACTTCCACTGAATCCTGATGTCTTGGGTGTCGAAAGCAGATCGTGATCCTTTGTGGGATCTATTGCGCTTGAAGTTGAAATGCGACGGGATGGTACGCAAGAAAAATTAGGCACCGCTGGCAGAGAGAGATGTGGCAGCAATTCCAACAACTGGCCAGTCAATGTGACCGGAGATAGACCAGCAGATTTGAGACCTGACAGATAATCTGAGAATTGGAAAACAAGGAGAATCGGGCTTTGGTTATTTTAAGGCATCGATTTCGAACCCTTAAGAAAACTATCGATCTTGGTTTGGAAAACCTAACAGATTAACGGTGATAACGTAAACAAATAAGTGCAAAATTTATTCACAATGATGGCAGTGTAAACATCTAGAACCCTATATTACTCTTTGTTCTCAACGAGGCATCGCACGCATGAGGGTATGAAAATTCTGACCAGGAGACTGGCTCAAATAGGTCCCGTTAGGCTCCCCGGCTGGGGACCCCGAGATCATGGTCACCGATGGTTAGAGACGCTGAGCGATATGGCTGTGTGTCGCAAACAGTAGCGTTTATGCATCTATTCATTATTCTTGTAACTTCAGTCTATGTAAATGCGTTATCTTCCGTTTGAATCTACTTTCAACATTCTAATCATCACTGCTGTTTTATCAAAACCGGCGCACGAAAGCGCATGCTTATTGTTTGTAAGAACTGAACTGAAATATCTCCAAGGTAAGTGAACAGTAAAATAAAGTACTCAGGCCATCGTCACTAATTGAGAGTACTATTCAATCGTTACGAGACTGCACCTTGATGTGGTGTGTGTGGTGGCTAGCGTACCTCTCTGATCCAACGAGCTACACGGGACGGCTTCTGTCAACCTAATCTAATCAGAGAACTAAATTCCTTATTCCAAACCGTCTGGAATACTGAGTCGACTCCATCCGAATGGAGTCTGGTGGACGTCGTATCTGTTTTCAAGAACGGCCCCGCAACGATTACTCCAATCACCGTCCAATCACTAATCTCCGTCGCATCCAAGATATCAACATCGTTGATCCTTCACAGGCTGAGTTGGATGAGACAGCGTCATATCCGCGAAGAACAAGCTGAATTCAGCTCCGCACGGAGCTGCGTTAATCATCATCATCATTGTACAGCGTAATACAGTGAAGCGAAATTCACTGATCGCTGACAAACTAATAATACATACAAGATAAGTGAGAATGTGTAAGGAGGACAGGGATTAGGCTTATTTTTAAGTACGGGAAAAGAAAGCGAACTTCCATGGTCAACACAGAGTACACAGCCCAACTGTGCGTACATACTAGTTCAAGTATTCTGGACTGATAAGAAGTGACAGCACGATCGCCATTGCTGTCGGTTTGCAGCCATAACCTTCAGTGTCTCCAACCATGCGGTTTCGGAGTCTTCTGGACCCCAACCCGGAAGACGAGAGACACCTTCTCTACCTAATCGCTCTGTGCAGTTCTTCATGCCTCGTATCCACGTCATCTGCTGGTCTCCACGTGGCTTTCTCCAGCCCGTCACAGCCACTGCGAACAAGGCGCACTGCGGTAGGCGACCGTCGCTCATACGCAAAACGTGTCCTAACCAACGGAGCCTACTGAGCTGGATTCGATGCGATGGCGAGTTCTTGTTCGATGCAGTCCCAAACATCCGACGACTCACTTCTAAGTTACTAACCCACCCACTCCATCACACTTGGGCCAGACTAAGTAAGCATCGATTGTCGAACACTGCTAAACGACGGGTGTCTTCTACCCGCAAATTCAAGGTCTCACAACCGTAAAGCAGAACTGATCGTACAGTGGTGCAGTATACGCGATTTCTCAACTTTAGTGACACGTCACATCACCGCCACAGGTGTTTTAGTCCTGTGTACGCTGCT